ACTGTTACGAAGCATTATTTCAGAGTAATAAACTTATAAGGCAGAGGCCTACTCTCTTAAAAAAATGGTTCTTAAAGGGTTCTTTAGCAAAGACTGTGGTTCTATATTGAAACATGAACAGTCAACGAACCATTTGCATGCATAAACAGTTCTTTGCATGGTGAAACGGTTCTAGAGATTGATGGAGAATGTGTTGTATATGGTTCTGTATAGCACCAAAAAGGGTTCTTCTGTTGTAACAAGCCTGCCATTATAACAATAGAAAAGACCTTTTTGATGCTATATAGAACCGTGTCTCCATCAATCTGTAGAACCGTTTCACCATGCAAAGATCCCTTAACATGGAAAGGGTTGTTTGAATGTTCATGGTTCTATATAGAACCATTTTCTTTACTAAAGAACTCTTGAGGAACCGTCATCTTTAAATGTGCACATAAAGTCATCTATAGTACATTTTCCATCAATCTGAAAAACCATTTCATGATGCAAAGAACACTTTAATCATGCAAAGGGTCCTTTGTATGTAAACGGTTCTAGATAGAACCATTTCTTTACTAAAGAACCTTTGAAGATTTCTATTTTAAGAGTGTTTTGTAACAATGTCAAGCTTGCAACAATAGAAGAACCCTTTTTGTTGCTATATAGAACGCTTTTCAGAAAGGTTGTATTTAGAACCATCTACAGCACATTCTCCATCAATCTGGAGAACCCTTTCATGATGCAGAAAACGCTTTCATCATGCAAAGGGTTCTTTGAGTGTTCTTGGTTCTGTATAGAACCATTTTCTTTACTAAAGAACCCTTGAAGAACCATCTTTTTAAGAGTGTAGGCCTCTGCCTTATGAGCTGAATGATGCTTTATAACAGTGTTATAAATGGGACAGATGCGTGTCACTTTAGTTTAAGCACCCCTATAATCCATGCAGTGTCCTTTACTTCATAAGAGATCTTATGTTGTGTTGTGATTACTGTGATATACCGTATGAATACTCAGGTATTGCTTTATGAATATGTGATTCAGCGCTTATGCGTGTGTTATGAAGTTCTTATGTACGTAGCCTTCAAATAAGGTGGACCCAAACTGTCTGACCTCTGAAACGGGGCCTTTAGAGGAGAAGGGAAAAGCGATATTAACTTTAATGTGTGTTAAATGTGTGTTTGTCCCGTCAGAGTTTGGGCCGGCTGGCTCCCCGCCGAGGCCGAGCGGAGACGTTACCTCACCTGTACGTCCACTCTTACGCTCACAGTCCTTCCACAACACGCCAGGTGAGTGATGCCTCTGTCTCTCTCCCCACTCACTCCCTCTCTCTCCGCTCACTCTCTGTCTCTCTCCCCACTCACTCCCTCTCTCTCCACTCACTCTCTCTCTCTCTCTCTCTCTCCACTCTCTCTCGATGTCTCTCTCTCACTTTCTCTCCCTCTTTCTTTCTTTTCTCTCTGTCTCTTTCTCTCTCCACTCTGTCTATGTCTCTCTCTCTTTCTCTCCCTTTCTTTCTCCTCTATCTCTCTCCATTCTCTCTGTCTCTTTTTCTCCCTCTTTTTCCTTCTCTCTCTCTCTCTCCCTCTCTCTCGCCATCCCTCTTCTCTCCTTCCCTCCCTCCCTCTCTCTCTCTCTTTCTCCACTCTCTCTTTTTCTCATCTTTATGTCTCTCACTCCTCTTCCTCTTTCTTTCTCCTCTTTCTCACCCTCTCTTTCTTTGCCCTCTCTCTGTCTCTCTCTCTCTCTCTCTCTCTCTTTCTTTGTCCTCTCTCTGTCTCTCTCTCTCTCTCTCTCTCTCTCTTTCTTTCTCCTCTCTCTCTTCCCCTGTTTTTCTTTCTCCTCTCTCTTCACTCTCTCTCTCTCATACTCTCTCTCTTTCTGTATATAAACTGGCAGTGAATGAAACAGAACAGCACTCTGTGAGTTATTTGCCGGCGCCTGTAAATCCCAGAGCCTCTTGAGTAATTACCTCACCTGAGAGAGAGAAAGAGAGAGAAGGAGAGGAAGAGGAAGAGAGAGAGGGAGGGAGAGAGAGAGGGAGAAACGGGAGGGTGAGAAAAAAGAGATGGAGGAAAAGAGAGAGAGGAACAGATGGAGTGACAGAATAAAAAAAGAATAGAGAGAGTGTATGTGAGAGAGAGAGAGAGAGAGAGAGAGAGAGAGAGAGAGGTCCCTCGGCCGTCCTCACGTCATGCCAGCTTTCTCCACTTCCCTCATGTTTCCGAGAATCACACGCGCCTCCACGGCAACAGCGGAGTAAATCGAAAAACCAAACTCCCCCCAGCGAAACCCATCCAATCCCCCAAATGCTGAACAGCGGACCACCCCTCCGCCCCCCGCCTCGTCTCCATTGTCAGAGCCGCTCTGTTTCTCTTATAGAACATTCTGTCCCGCTGCCTCCTCGGCCTCGTTTATGGAGCGTTTGCCCAGCGCTGCGTTTTGAAGGCAGCCGTCTGCTTTATAACTCAAAACTCGCTGCAAAAACATCTCAGTTTATACCGTCGTGCTCTAATTCTGCCTCCCAGCCTGCAGTTAAACGAACAGTTCACAGTTAAAAGCTGCTAATGTGCACATTTTTACTGATACTCTGTGAAAGTCAGATGGAATGAAGCTTCTGTGCTTCAGATCTTTCAGCAGGGCTGTCACTGTTGTAGTGAGCACCATAAAAACCAGGCCTGGTGTTGTGCAACGGGGCATTATGAGATCAAGAGTCCTCGTCATTTGTCAGCGAGGGTGACAGGGCCTTTATTTCGGTCAAGCTGCTGCAGAACATCGCGTCCCGCTGGTGGTTTTGTGAGAATCAGGTGTGGCCGATAAGGCGTTCTTGCTGTTGTCATTCATTCAAAACCGTGGAATCTGTTATTCGCCGCGGTGCGGAGTCTTCACATGCTGTGCCTGATGAAATAATTCCCTTCTTTTGTTCATTTATTTACTATGACATTAATTCAATAACGTTGCACTTAATGATATGTAAACATTTCAGCCAGAGAACAGATTTCTCTTGTTTTTCCAGTCTGTACACGCTAGATGTTTATCTTCGCTTCAAAGAAAGCCTGCAATCTGTTACTGCTCTGAAAGTCATGCAACCCTTGATTCACATTTCAGCAGCTTTTTTTCTCCCTATTCACTTTATGCACTGTAATCTGGCGTTGTTATCAAACACTGTGATCTAAAAATGAGTTCATAACTGATTTCGGTTGTGCATTCAAAGGGATTATTTGGTGAAAAATCTAATTTTGCACAGATGTTACACTTTATCCCAGATGTAGTCGACCAGCCAAGATGTGTTTAATGTCCAGATATTGCTTTGTTCGTTTAGCGCCGGAGCCACAAGACTAATGTTGCTAACGAACACTAGAAGCCAATAGTCACCCAAACCCGTTTCAATAAAAACATCCCCAGAAACTCTCAAACCACATGCAGGTGTTCATTAAGGTGGCGCACACAGTGTGACTCAAGATGAGCTATAAAAAAAATACATGAGCTATAAAAACTTAAATTTAAAATGTACCAATTTAAGCACCCAGAATCACTTTCTTTTGCACTGCAAGGTGGTATTATGCTCTTTTTGTGACATAGATGTAAATTAATTTGAGCTCCACCCAATTCTTCTTCCTGTGTCTCATTATTATTATTATTGTTAATAATATTATTATATTGTAATTCATATTAATTTATATTATTAATATTAAATATTATTTTTAATCCTAATTTAACTTTTTAGTTTTATCATAACCATCTGGATACAATATCCTTGATTATCTTGAAAGGCGCTCATAAATAAAATTATATCATATTATTATAGACAGTGAGGTTGAATTGTACTGTAGAGATGATAATATGGACCCGTTTTGAGTGTAAATTTGTGAACATGGTCCTTATTATCCCTGCTGTTTTACTAAACTGGGCTGGCCTGGCACAAAGACGATTCTTTAGTGGTGGAGCGAGCATCACACTGAACACTCTCTCTACCAGTTAACCCTATGGAACCGAGCGTCTCGCTGGCGATCCACTCTGAGACTTGGCTGAGCTTGTTTAAATCTGCTGCTAGAAGGGCTACGGCGCGTGTCCAGGAGTGCAACGTAACCGTGTGTAGTATTTTTCTGTGAGCTGCCGTTTTTTTCCTATCACTGTATAGAAAATGCACGAGGCTTCGTTTATTACAGGATGTACTGCGATTTTTTTGAGTGAGCTCATTCAGAACAGATCGATAAGCACTTATTATTGTTTAATTTATAAAACACGACTGGTGTGTGACGTACGTTCCTGCTCATGTTTTCCTGTTGAAAATAGTAGTTTAAATGATTAAAACCCTCAGTTTTCTGCTTAGATTGTGTTGTTTACACATTAAACGCACCTACAGCAGTCTGAAAATTGTGTGATTAACACATTGTGGGATTAAAAGACATTTTTGTGTCTGCCTTAGAAGATTAATAAGTGATTATTGCTGTCCGGAGAAAAGCTTGTGTCATCGCTTTTTCATTTTTTCATACCATGTGCCCTGAACATTTAAAGGTCCCATATCAAGCAGTACTGAATTATGAAGTTTGATGTGGTATGTAAAAGTTTCAGATTATACACTCCATATGTGGAAACAAAGCCTGTTTTGATTTCACTGTTTTCGTGATGTCACAAAAAATATAATGTATTAACATATATCCGCCTATGTCAGCCTACGGCAGTTTAGCCCCGCCCCCTTGACGCCGAAGTTATAAGAAGTGTTTCAGCCTCGGCTGCTTTTTTACAGGGCAGCCAATCAGAAAAGAGCTCATTTACATATATCATTATATCAGTCTTAAAGGCACAGTAACGTAATTGTACATATAGATAGAGACAGGCTGGAAAATTGATTTTTTTTATTTTAATTTTTGTGCATGAAACCACACAAATGGCAAGTGGAATTCAGAGAAAAAATTAGGTTGGTTTTAGGTTGAGTTAACTCCTTAAACTTCCAGGTTTATTACATAGCAAGGCTTATTATTTAGTAACTACAGGGACTTCAGTGCAAACTGGTTGAGCTATTCTTAGATTATAGAAGTGTGTGATAAAACCGATGTGCCCTGGCCGTTAAACAGGTCATTTAGACGTAATGAGCATTTTTATTTCTCCTTTAAAGTGGCCATTTCAGGGATACCAGATGTTGTAAATGCTTTCTTTTTTTGCTGTTTTGCTAATTGCTCTTTTTTTTCTCTTTTTCCTCTCTTCCAGGAACGTCACGTCCATTCCACGGCCACCCGACCTCCGTGTACCCCTCCGATCCCGTCACGTCCCTCTCTAAACTCGCGCACCTGCAGCAGTACCCCATGCCCTATGCGGCCACCTCCACCCACTCACCCTTCCAGTACTCACCCCTGCCCGGCTCTCCCAAACCTGTCCATCCTCCGCTCTCCCGTCTCCACAGTAGCTCCTCCTACTCCTTCTCTTCACCTCCTTCCGTGTGCGCCTCGCCCAGCCCTCTCGGCTCGGACGTCCTGAGCCCAGTCAGCGACATCGGCAGCCCCCTGACCTCCCCTGCTCTTCAGAACCACACACCCACCATGTGGCCTCCTCAGACCCCGCCCCTTTTCTCTCTGGCCAACGTGCTCTCCATGGCCATGAGCATGGCGCACTCTTTCATCCCTGCCCCCAGCCTGCCGTCCCCCCTGGTGCAGTCCATTCCCTCCATACCTGGCTTCCCTCCACAGTTCGCCCACCAGATCCCACCCCAGCCTGGATATCCCTCAATATACGCACCTCAGTACGCGCCACACATCCAGGCCGAAGGACCGTACCCACAGGTTGGTCTTGAAGCTCAGAACTGGGAGGCCATCTATGGTTACGCTCAGAAAGCACATTCCACGTTGCAGGCACATGTGTCCACTTCGGCCTCGGGGATGCCCTTGCATGCAAATGCTCACGTGCAGCAGATGTTCGCCGCCGTCCCACAGGAGATGGGGCTACGAAGCCCCCCGGTACCCACTGAGCATCTCCCAAAGGAGTACTCCGGGCCTCAGGGGTACGAACAAGCTTTCCCCAGACCTTCACTGGACCAGTCTGGCCTGTCCAGATCCTCCTCGTCTGGGTTATCGTCTTCACCGAGAGCCAGCCCAGAGAGCACGGTGAGTCAGGCTGTCCTTAACTTAGTCTTCAGTAGCCTTGAAGAAAACGGCATTCTGTGCCTTATACCGGTGCACAACCGATAGGGGCATGCCGCCACGCAAACGTTGGGACGGCGACAATGTCACTTGAGTTTTTCTTGATAAAATAATTTTAAAAATTACAAATAGTTTAGAAATAAGTTAGATATTTATATAATATCTTCTTTGGTGCATAAAACCACACAAATGGAAAGTGGAATTCTGAGAAAAAAGTAAAAGACAAAACGAATTGAGGTTGTGTTAACCCCTTAACATCCCAGGCTTATTACACACTAAGGCAGGGGTCGGCAACATGCGTCTCCGGAGCCACATGCAGCTCTTTTACTGCCCTGTTGTGGCTCCACAGCAGAATCAGATTTGTAGGTAAAAATAAAATAATCCTCCTTTACAGTAAAATAAAGCTCTGCTGATCGTTCAACACAGTTTAACAGTAAATGGTCTTAAACTCTGGAGTTAATATATAACTGCTAATTCACCCTTTAACCCTGAAGATCAGCGCAGACTGCTGGTCACCATAGCAACACAGACAACAATCTCGCCTAGCTAGTAGCTAACGAAACGACAAAGAGAGAGATTTAAGACAAACATCGATAATTTGGAGACAAATGGACTTATTTGTGTTTAGAATCACTCCAGCTGGTTTCCTGATATGTTTAATCTGCAATGAGAAACTGACAAACAGTAAAAAGTCGTAAAGCTGTAGCGACTTCAGCCTCGTAAAAAGCTGAATGTTGAGAGACATTTTACAAGAAACTTCTACTTTTGTGGAAAAGTTTCCTGCCGGAGATGCGAGAAAAGCAGCTAGAGCTGAGCAAAAGGTTAAAGCAGAGCAAAGTGAGTCTGCGTTTTTGTTTTATATTATGTTTTTAGCCTCTACAAGGACATTAACACATACTGAGACAGATTTACAGCCAAGATGGTAAAGTGGACATGAAATGTGGCTCCCAAGGTGGTTTGAATTTTGTGGAAAGGACAAAATGGCTCTTCTTAACATTTGGGTTGCGACGACTAAACTAAGGCTTATTATTCAGTAACTACAGGGACTTTAATGCAAAATGGCTGAGCTATTCTTAGGTTATAGAAGTGTGTCCCACCACTGCGCCCTGGCCGTTTGAGGGGTTAAACAGATGTTACATTATGAGCATTTTTACTTCTCCTCTAAAGTGGCCATTTCAGAGATACCAGATTTTGAAGTGCTTTCATTTTTAACCGTTTAGTTAAATGTTTTTTGTTTTTATCCTCTTATTTTCTCTCTTCCAGGGTAAGGTTTAGGCTGTGCTTAACTTACTCCCTAGCAGCGCTGAAGAAAACGGCGTTCCGATGGCGGCATGCGGCCGTGCAAACGTTGGCATGGTGACAGAGTCACTTGAGTTTCTCTAGATAAAATTACTAAATTAAAAATAAAAATAGCTTAGAAATAGGTTAGAAATTCACATAATATTCTTAAAAGAGTCTTAAAATGAAAAATATTAGAAAATAATAAGATATCTAGAAGAGATTCAAGATCATTTCACTTGCTAAGACGTAATGTTTTTGCATAATTTTTATTTAGTTATATTATTTTTATTTTTTGTGAGCTATAAAAACATGTACCAATTTAAGCAACCAGAATCGCTTTCTTTCCGTACCGCAGTGTGGTATTACGCGCCAGACAACATTTAAACTTTTAAGGTTTTTTCCGTCTCCTGTGAAGGACGTTTTGGAGATGTACTTGTCATTCAGTTATGGAATTATTCTCCATGATTTTTGATCCAAGGGTGATGTGAATGTTCTCGCTCCTTTCCAAGGCTTCCTCCTCCAGTCCAAGATCGCTCTCCCCACCAGCAGCTCCAGAGACCAGCACCGGCGTGCGTGAGCCCAGAGAATCCCCCGTCAGCTCCGGTAAGATGTTGTGGAAACGGAAACACATGCAAACACGCGCAAACAGCAACAAAGAGACCTTTTCTGCTTTTACATAAGGACCTTTTATTATGTATTGGGTGAAGTTAAGCATTAAGTAATGACTTCAGGGATGAGCTAAGGTCCTTCTCTGTTTCGCTCACAGCCAGTTTTGCGCGCTTTTGTGTGGACTTGGCTGCGGCTTCGCCCACATTGGTGTTGGAAGACATTATCGCCCATTAGCTGTGCCTTTGGAGGTGTTGCGTAAGCAGCGTGTCTGGTTATAATGTTCCATGGAACGCAGCCTGTAGGTGCGAGTGCTGCCTGAACCACATTAACAGAGCCAACTAAGGAGCATGTGTGTTTACATCCAGCTTAGAGCCTATAGCACCCAACACAGATAACTTGACAACATAGAAATAGTTTGCAGGGAAATACCACCAATTTTTCAACATTCCTGCACGATTCAGAGACTTCAGAGGTGGGATATCTTCAAAGTAACGGTACAAAAATAAGAATTTTGCTAATTTTCTGCATAATTCAGTGGTTGAGATGTAAACAGAGTGATTCAGAGTGGTTTGGTTCACACTTCTTTACAGTGGTGGTGACCAGGGGTCGCCATGGCTACAACACAAATACAGATATTTTATTTGTGATTTTTTATTTGTTTGTGAATCTACACAGAGTATTTTGCCTATCTGCTATAAATGGATTTAAAAAAAAGGTTTAAACCAGAAACCTTCTCAAAACTATCATAAATCAGTGTCTCAGACCTCAGGCAGCGAATTCATAACCATTTCATGTAATAACTTTCCATAAGGGAGCTTTTTGAGTCAGACATCTGGTTCCTATCACTGGGAACAATTCCAGGATTGGAGCATCAAACCACTCTAATATTAGTATATCATATAGTTTGTTTCTTTAGTTTTACGCTGGAGCGATGAGGCTGATGTAGCTAAGCTTATAGCCCACCAATTAGCATGGTGCTAACTGCATTCCGCATCTCAATGGTTCCTTTAATGTGTTGCATCAGTAGTGATGCAGTGAAATGTCAGTGGACAGAATCCAGAAGTGCTGGTGTTTATTCACTGGTTAAAACATTTTATGTGTCTTTCAGCACCCTTAGTCTATTAAAGCCAGTCGTACACAGTGGGGAAGCCTCAGAGCCTTCTAGGTGTTCAGAGAAGAAGCTTAAGATGGTTTTAGTCTCCAAACACTAGTGCCCTACGTTAATTTCATTTCTCTTGTATTCCTGTCCACTCCATCGTTGTCATTGTTCCAGGCTCTTTTTATCTATATTTATGTAAATGAGCTCTGTTTCAGCTGCACTGTATTTTGAGGTTGAAACACTCCTTTTCCACTCCTTTTTAGCCCCGTTCACTCCATGTCACATGAGTGGGCGGGCTAAACTGCTGTATAGGTGAATAAAGTAGTGGGTGGTATGGCCAAACATTTACATCATAGTATAATTAAATTTTCTCACTGTTTGTCTTTTTAAATAAAACCATTTTAGATGCTTAAGTAAACCTGTTTTTGTAGGTTAACAGAGGCTTATTATTCTGGGATGTCCCTCCACTTTTAATAAATAAATAACAGTATTTCAGACTTACTTTGGTTTAACAGCCAAAGTAAATCTGAAATAGAGCTGGGCAATATGGCAAATATAATATCACGATGTAGGGGTGGACGATTTTGGCAAAATATCTAATTGCAATTTTTCTGACCAATATTGCGATTACGATTTAAATTGCAATTGTCTATAATTGAGGTAGAAATTGAGGTATGGGCCTTTTCTGCCTAAGAACACCAGCATATACTTTTATATCTATTTTTCTGGCTTGAGACATGAACTCTTAACTCAGTGCACCAGCCTGCCAGTTATTTGTGGTTGTGATGTCACAGCAGTTCATGAGCTCCATGTTATTAGGTAAAATTTCCTGACTTAAAACTTCCATCATATCAACATAGTCGATAATAGACTGTAAGACTGTAATATAAATTGCAGCTCTAGCGATTTGAAAATTGCACTCTCAAACTCAGCTCTGTCACGACGCTTTAAGACGGTTTTTTTATGATACACGATATGTTACAGTATTTTTTTCTGACAAAAGTTGGAAAGTGCCAGGTAAAAAATACTACATATTGTTTGAAAAGCATATTGTGACATAATTTAATCAAGGTGACGATAAATATTGTCATATTGCCCAGCCCTAATATGAAATATTTCTGTTGTTCCAAACATTTAAAAAGAAAGCTGAACAATACATAAATAAGCTTGTCAATATTGCTTTCTAACGCGAGCCCAGCAGGCCTGGAAAAATGGCACTAAATACTTTTACATTTATGGCATTTGGCAGACGCTCTTATCCAGAGCGACTTACAGTTTGGTTTTTACACAGGTAGGTGAAGGTAGGGTTAGGAGTCTTGCCCAAGGACTCTTACTGGTATAGTGTAGGGTGTTTACCCAGACAGGGATTGAACCCCAGTCTACAGTGTAGAGGTCAGAGGTGTTACCCACTACAGAAGTGTTACCCACTACACTATACCAACCACAAAGTCTTAATTTCTACAAAGCTTTTTTGTTAGAATTTCCTGTTCCACCTTAAATGGAGCAGCAGTTACATTCTGACACCTGTACAGATGCTTGAATATAACTAGTGCACCATTTAAGGTGGAACGGGAAATTCAAATAAAATGCCAGTTTTAACTTCATCTGATTTACTGCTCAATACTACACTCCAAAAACGATGGCGCTTCAAGGGTACTTTAGTAAAGAAAACGGTTCTACATAGAACCATAAACACTCAAAGAACCCTCTGCGTGGTTAAAGGGTTCTTTGCATGGTGAAATGGTTCTTCAGATTAATGGAGAATGTGCCGTAGATGGTTCTAAATAGAACCTTTTTGAAAAGTTCGGTATAGCAGCAAAAGGGGTTCTTGTATTGTAACAAGCCTGACATCGTAACAACAGAAGAACCTTTTTTGGTGCTATATTGTAGAGATTTCTTTACAGTGCTGGTGATAGGAACCAGGGGTCACCATGGCAGCAACACAAAGAACCCTCTACATGATTAAAGGGTTCTTTGCATCATGAAAGTGTTCTTCAGATTGAAAATGCGCTTGAATGAGCTATAGACGGTTCTATATAGAATCTTTTTGAAAAAGCACTCAAAATGGTTCTTCTGTTGTTACTAGCTTGACACCATAACAATAGAAGAACCCCTTTGGGTTCTATATAGAACCATCTACAGCACATTCTCCATCAGTCTGAAGAAACTTTTCATAATGCAAAGAACCCTTTAATCATGCAGAGTGTTCATGGTTCTGGATAGAACCATTTTCTTTACTAAAGAACCCTTTAAGAACCATCTTTTTTAAGAGTGTAGGTGGATATATGTAAATGATTTGTTTCAAAAAACCAAGTCTGATTCGGTTCTCCGTGATATGGGCCCTTTAAGTAACCCTTCCTCATCATCTCCTGTGTTTCTCCTACAGAACCAAATCCCACCGTCACAGTCGGACGCTTCCAGGTTTCCCCGTCTAAGGAGCTCCCAGCACCAGCTGAACATAAAATCACACCCACACCTGCTGCCTCACCACCAGTCACACCAGCATCACAGCTGGAGTCGCCCAGCTCTTCTGTTTGCTCCTCCCAGGACCCACATGAGGGGCGAAGAGGATCCGAGGGGAGTGAAGTCACCTCCCTAGGCTCCCATCAGCACTGTGTAGATGTTCCTCAAGACCAGCAAGTTTCCTTGGATGCAGCTCAACCGTTGGGGAACCTGTCGTCTTTGGCTCCTCATGATGTTTCCCGCCTCCATGAACCTCCAGCCTGGACTGAGGAGAACAAGGTAAAAGAAGAGGAGAAGGAGGAGGTGCGAAGGAGAGGTGAAGAGGAGCACAACGAGGTCCAGGGAGAGGAGGAGCAGCAGCAGCGGCAGCAGAGGAAGAAGAGCCGGAAGCTTGAGTACGGTCAGTCTGTGATGGGGACGTCAGTGGACAGTGGGCTTTCTGTCGCCCTGGATCCCGAGGGGTGTCCGTGGGACGGGATGATGGGCAGCCCTCAGTATCCCACCCCTCTCCACAACCTCTGGATGAGCTACACACGCACCTCCTCCTACATGAGCAGCGACGAGTCGGAGAGCGACGACGAGGAGATGTGGGACGAGTTGCAGGAGCTGAGGGAGAAGTAAGCGTCTGATTGGATGGTTGTTGATTACGGCTGTCAAAATATGCAAAATTCAAATATTTGCAAAATCCAGTGCAGAAAAATCCAGATGTACAAATTGAAATTTAAATATTCATCAAATTCAATGAAAAAATCCTTTTTTTAATTTAATGAGAAATCAGCATCTGATTGGATAGTTGAAATTAGGCCTGAAGTAAAAATTGAAATTCAATTATTTGCTTAATTCAAAGAAAAAAATCCAGAGGAAAAAATGGAAATCAATGCAAAAAAATCCATAGTTGCTGTCAAAAGTAAAATTCGAATATACACAATTCATTGGACAACTGATTGTATAGTTATTGTTAGTGTCAAAATACAAATTGAACTTCAAATATTCAAATATTTTACTAATTCAGTGGACAAATTTGTGTGAGCATCTGATTAATTAGTTGTTATTAAGGCTGTCAAAATACTCAGAATTTGAATATTTGTTCATTTCAATGCAATAAAATACATGTGCGCATCAGAGTGGACAGCTGTAATTAAAACTGTCCAAATTAAAATTGAAATTTGAATATTTATCAAATTGAATGAAAAAATCCAGCTGGCTATGTGATTGGATCGTTTTTATTAGGGCTGCCAAAGTAAAAATGGAAATTCAAATATTTGGCCAATTCAATGGAAAGGAATCATGTATGGATCTGATTAAATTATTGTTATGAGGACTATCAAAAAAAAAATTAAAATTTCAACGTTTGCCAAATTCACATGATGGTCTGATTGAGTAGTTGTTATTATAGTAGTTGTATAGTAGAGTAGTTGAGCTGTCAGAATAGTCAAAATTTTAATATTATTAAATTCAATACAACAAAATTCCATATGTGCATCTGACCGGATAATTGTAATTAGGACTGTCAGAATAAAATTAGAAATTTAAATACTTACCAAATAAAATTCCATCTGATCAACTGGATAGTTGTTATTGGAGCTGACGAAGTAAAAATAGAAAATTTTAATATTTGTTTATTTCAGTGGAAAGAAATCACAGGATCGTGTAAATGGATTGTTGTAATTAGCATAAATACATTTTGAAATAAAATTCAAATGATATAAATGTAAAACCAAAATTTGAATATTTCTGTAATGCAGTATAAAGAACTTGTGTTATTTGAAGACCAATAATGTTTGAATATATTTGAATAATTCATGAAAGTAACGAAAGTCCAGATGACGGCTCTATTCATTATGAGCAACTATCAGTCAGCAGCTTTACTCATATAGTAAAACTAACCCACTCTCTCTGTCTGTCTCTCTCTCTCTCTCTCTCTCTCTCTCTCTCAGGCATCTGTGTGAGGTGCAGACTCTGCAGGCGGTGCAGAAGCGAGAGATAGAGGAGCTGTACGAGCGGATGGGGAAAGTTCCTCCTCCGTGCATCGTGTCTCCGGCGGCCATGCTGTCCAGCCGGCAACGGCGGCTCTCTAAAGGAGGAGCTTTCCCTTCATCTCGCCGGAACAGCCTTCAGAGGCTGGACATCCTCCCTGTAACAGGTACAAACCTAAATGTTAAAAGAAACGTTGCTAAATTTCTGTATAACTCAGTGTGTGAGATGTGAACTGAGAGATTCAGAGTGGTTTGGTGTGAAATGGTTCAGATGTCTTCACAGTGGTGGTGATAGGAACCAGGGGTCGCCATGACTACAACACAAATATAGACATTTTATTTACTATCCAGAACCACCAGTGAACCTACACGAGTCTTCTGAGTTTATATGGAATGTTGATGGTGGAAAATCTGAAATAATAAGTTTTCTTTGGGGACTATTTTGCATCACAACACCCTGTATATTATGTATCCCTCCACCATGAATGGATTTTTAAAATATGCTTTAAGCAAATCTTCATCTATCATAAAACAGTGTCTCAGTCATCAGGCAGTGAATTCATAACCATTTCCTGTAGTAACTTTCTGTGAAGGAGCTTTTAGAGGTGGATGTCTGGTTCCTATCACCACCACTGTGAACAGTTCTGACTCAGTAAGTTTATCTAGAACGGAGCGTTTCACACCAAACCACTCTGAACGACTCTGTTTACATTTTAACCACTTAATTATGCAGGATTTTTGAAAAATCGATGGAATTCTTCTTTAAAGCGATACTTCGGTAGAAAATTATATTTCTTTCATTTTGCACTGGAGCCACAAAGCTAATGCATCATGCAAACTAATGCCTTCAGATTGATGGAGAACATGTTGTTGGTTTATAGCACCAAAAAGGGTTCTGCTATATTTAAAGTGTCAAGCTTGTACACAATAGAAGAACCCTTTTAGTGCTAATATAGAACCATTTTCAAAAAGCTTCTATATAGAACCACAACACATTCTCCATCAATCTGAAGAACCACTTCACCATGCAAAGAGCCATATAAGCATGAAGTGGTATAGGTATAGAGCTCATGGTTCTAAATAGAACCATTCCCTTTACTAAAGAACCCTTGAAGAACCATCTTTTGAAGAGTATAGATTATACCTGAACTGCGTGGAATAATTATCTGTAAAAAAAGAGAAAACTACTGATTTCCAGATGGCTGCTGCTGTTTTTAGCTTTGTGATGTACTTAAGTCCATCTATTTTTAATCCAGCTATCGCTTTAAACCAGAAAGCTAGTCAGATGTCAGAGGCGTCTCATGCTGAGATCCGTCAGGTTCCTTCTGCTGTTTTGCCCTTTGAGTTTGAGGATAATGACTGTGACTCCTGCTGTGGTTGCTCCACAGGAATCATAAGGAAGAACTCTCTGAGCGGCGGCAGCAGCAGCAGCAGCAGCAGTTCACAGGAGCGACCCGCCAAAGGGGTGTCCTTCGCCCCCGAACTCACCAGAATGGTACGTTCCATTTCGCTAGTGTATTTTCATCTTTCTTCACAATAGCAGCCCAAAAAAAACTGCATTTGATCACATTTTAACTACACTAGTTCTAGTACACATCGATCAGCCGTAACATTCTGACCACCTCCTTGTTTCTACGCTCATTGTCCATTTTATCAGCTCCACTTACTATATAGGTGCACTTTGTAGTTCTACAGTTACAGACTGTAGTCCATCTGTTTCTCTGCATACTTTGTTAGCCCCCTTTTACCCTGTTCTTCAGTGGTCAGGACCCCCATGGACCCTCACAGAGCAGGTACTATTTGGGTGGTGGGTCATTCTCAGCACTGCAGTAACCAACACAAACTGTGGAGCAGCAGATGAGCTATTGTCTCTGACTTTACATCTACAAGGTGGACCGACAAGGTAGGAGTGTCTAATAGAGTGGACAGTGAGTGGCTCATCTGCTGCTGCACAGTTTGTGTTGGTCATCCTCTAGTCCTTCATCAGTGGTCACAGGACGCTGTTGGCTGGATGTTTTTGGTTGGTGGACTATTCTCAGTCCAGCAGCGACACTGAGGTGTTTAAAAACTCCAGCAGCACTGCTGTGTCTGATCCACTCAGACCAGCGCAACACACACTAACACACCACCACCACGTCAGTGTTACTGAAGTGCTGAGAATGATCCACCACCCAAATAGTACCTGCTCTGTGAGGGTCCATGGGGGTCCTGACCACTGAAGAACAGGGTAAAAGGGGGCTAACAAAGTATCAGAGAAACAGATGGACTACAGTCTGTAACTGTAGAACTACAAAGTGAAACTATATGGTCAGTGGGGCTGATAAAATGGACAATGAGCGTAGAAACAAGGAGGTGGTCAGAATGTTATGCCTGACCGGTGTATGTGCTGTTACGTCTATTATGTGAGCATTCACTGTAGATTCATGACCAAATATAACTAGCTTTAGTGTCCAGATACGGAGACAAGGAAGCTTTACAATTCAGAATTATTCTGAGATTAGAATATATTTATTTATTTAATTTCTTGTTCCGTTTTCTTATTGCGGCTTTCTCATACTCAAAGTGTCTTTACAAAGAACTACATATACACAAGGGTGGTCTCTTTGTACTAGGCTAAGGTAGGGAGCCATTTAGGGCCCCCCATGAGCCGAGGGCCCCACAAAAATACAGATCACCTATACTGTATATGATGTTAAATAATCTATTTAAAAATATATAAACATGTTAAAAACAGCTTTTTGCAATTGTAGTGACTATTTTCAGTACCTGCAGTGCAGCTCCACCCCAAATCAGAATTATAATGGACTGTTCCATGTTGTTACTTCATGACACAACTGCGTAAAGACAGGGGTTCTCAAAAAGGGTTCTTCTATTGTTATAAGCTTAACATCGTAACAGTAGCAGAGTCATTTTTGGTGCTATAGAGAACCATTTCTAAAAAGGTTCTATATAGAACTATATACAAGACATTCTCCATCAATCTGAAGAACCGCTTCATCATGCAGAGAATCCTTTAAGCATGAAATGGGTCTATATAGAACTCATGGTTCTAAACAGAACCACTGCCTTTAGTAAAGAACCCTTGAAGAACCATCCTTTATGTGGGTAGAGCCCCAGAATCATTCAGTTCAACCCCAGCATGCACAAGATCTGTAGATTCCAGAGTTTCTTCTGAAATGAAGGTGAGTTTGTGCTGCAGTAACAGCCTCTACTCTTCTGGGAAGGCTCTAGAGGTTGGAACATTGCTGTGAGGATTTGATTGAGCATTAGTGAGGTCAGGTCCTGATGGTGGGTGGTCAGTCCAGCTCATCCCAAAGGTACTGGATGGAGCTCCATCACTCCAGAGAACACAGCTCCACTGCTCCACAGCCCAATGCTGGGGGGCTTTATACCCCTCTAGCCCACGCTTGGCACTGGACATGGAGACCTTAGGCTGCTCCAGCTCCCATTCTATTGGTCAGTCCTTTTCTAAGGAGATCATACAAGCTTAAACTCACTAATTAAAAGGGCTGTGTGATACTTTTGGACGTATGATGTACAATGAAAGGACTCCGACCGCTCCCGTCTGTACTCATGACGTTTTCTTGCGACAGAATCTGAATGGCCTCTTTCTTTCTCCTCTCTTTTCACAGTAAGAATCCATAACCGAGCCTGTTGGCAGGACTAGTTTAGACTACCTCATCCAGCAACACGACTGCTGCTCACTCCCCCCGTCCTACTGAAGAACACACACTTCACAGACCGCCGCTCCGACAGACAAAGAGACCTTCTCTGCTTGTAGAAGAGTGAGAGTCAGCGCTACTTCCTGTACAGACGGTCACATGGTAGCAGTCGCCGCCCACGTTCATGCTAAGACGCAACCCAAAGACGGCATATAGTGAACTTACACTGACTGTGTTAAATTATATTGAAAACGCCAGCCTGTATGTACACTCATACACACTACTGCGGACTGCAGGCTGGATTCCCACCTGGAAGTGGAATGTACCATGCAGTACCAGTTTGGACACACCTACTTTCAAACAGGGTTAGACTATCACTAACAGTGAAGGCATCAAGACTATTGAAATAACACTTATGGAATTAGACAGTGAGCAGAAATGTGTTAAACAAACTAAACGTCTGGTTTAGATTTGCCTCAATGCGCCGCACTGTTGGCATTCTTTCAAGTTTCAAACTTCAAACATATACATAATATTTCCCACTGTGAGATTGTTGTAAGAAATATTGTATTCAGCCTATTTGTAGACATTTTGTACCTGTTTTAAAGGGGAACCACTTCGAATGACTATCTTGTAAAGGAATGGTAAAAAGACCTAAGTTAAAGTGACGTAGGCAAAAATTTGAGCACCCCGGTCAAATTACATGTTGATTTTTTAAGTGAAAACAAGTTAAAACGTCCTCTACAGAGAACACACTTAAATATGGCGTTTTTCTGCAACTTTTAGTGCACAATTTCTTTTTACATGCTGAGTTTAACATTATATATATATGGCAGAACCTTCTCCAACAATCTGAAGAACCATTTCATCATGCAAAGAACCATTTTTGCATGAAATAGAACCAGGAAGAATCTTTGAAGAACCATCTTTATGTTATATATATATATATATATTTATATATATATATATATATACACACACACATATATACATAGGGTTCTGCCATTGTTATGATGTCAAGCTTGTAACAGTAGAAGAACCTTTTTCAAAAAGATTCTATATAGAATTATATACAACTTATTTTCTAAAGAACGATTTCATCGTGCAAACAACCATTTATACAAGAAATAGTTCTATTTATAACTCATGGTTCTGTTTATAACTCATGGTTCTGTTTATAACTCATGGTTCTAACCCTTGAAGATGCAAATGTTAAATTCAGCAAATAAACAATAATTGTGCATAAAATGTGCAGTGAAACAAAACATGGAAACTGTATAGCCTAGTGGATAACACCGCTGCTCTCCATGCTGAAAAACTGGTTCGGTTCCCCGCTCGGGCAGGTGCACCACACTACACCAATAATACCAATAACTCTAACACCGAGCCCGGGGACTTTCATTTACCTACATCTGTAACGTTATTATACTGTAAGTCACTCTGGAAAAGAGCAGCTGCCAAATGTAGTCATAGCATGAGCAGTCATGTGGGATAATTATGATATTAGATAATATATAATTTAAAAAATATTTACACATTTTTTAGATCAGAATGTGTTTAAATATTTTACTGCATTTATTTTCCCCCTGAGGTCCCCTTGTAGTGTAAAATGTGTGTGCACCACAAACAACATTCACTTTTACACAACTTCTTTATCGCTTAGAATCAAACAGGCTGTTTTTGTTACTGTGTATATGTAAACAAGCTCTGTTTTGATTCATTCAAAAACCAGTCCTGGGCTGAAACACTCCTTATAACTTCAGTGTGAGTGGGTGGGGCTAAACAGCTGTAGACCGAATACACAGACACATGTAAATGTGTTGTTTTTTTGTGACGTCACAAAAGCAATGAATTCAAAACAGGCAGCTCAGTTTACATATATGGACTGTATGGAGTCAGGAGTGAATATGTTTGCATTTACATAAAAGTCTTTAGGTCATAATGTCTGTAAATGGTCTGTATCCCACATTTTACTGCAATTATTTTCCCACTGAGGTCCACTTATAGTGTAACGAGGTCCACTTGTGGTGTATATGTACCATAAACATCATTCACTTTCACTTCTCTTTATCCCTCAGAATCAGATGGTTTCCGTTACTGTGCCTTTAAAACTGATATATGTAAATGAGCTCTGTTCTGAAACACTGAGTGGGCGGGGCTAAACAGCTGTAGACTGAATACGCAGACAAGTGCACGTGTGTTGTTTTTTGTGACGTCACAGAAGCAGTGAATTCAAAACAGGCGGTTCAGTTTACCCACATGGACTGTATGGAGTTTTGACTTATATCTATTTTAAATCCAAAAAAATTGAGGAATATGTATATTTCCGTGATGCGGTGATGAAAAACGTAGGTGTGTCCAAACGTCGGACTGCGCTTTAGACCTGCTTTAATGTAGATTTGTGCCTCTGTTGGGCGCAGGTTGGGACAACAAGTGTAATCTGCTTCCTGCCCCCGTTACTCTGCTGTAGTGACGGCGCTGTTGGCGTCGGCGTCGCCACGGTGAGCTCGGTGACGTGAGAGTGACGTGGATGTTCTCTCTGGTGGCTCACCGCCGGATCATTAGCGTGAGCTTTGCACTTTCACGAGTACATTACCTGCACACGCATACAGGGAGCAGGCCGAGCTGCTGACTGTGTGTAAAAGGCAGGAGAGAGAGAGACATAGAGAGAGAAAGAGAGAGAGAGAGACATAGAGAGAGAGAATTACAAGCACCCACTGGACTCCATCGTTTCCTCAAACGGCTCAACAGATCTGAGGGAGGAGCACTGAAACTCCTGCCTGGTGTACTGTAGCCCTGGTGTACAGTTGTATTTTGGTTTGTTGGGTTTTTTTGACTATTTTACTTTATTGTCAATGTGAATAGAAACTGGAGATAACGAGCTCGATTGTTGGGTCCGGGATGTAAATTTTGCATCGTGCAATGTTGTGTGAAATATTCATTATACAAGCATTATTAAGCCATTTGAAAGACTCTGAAGCTGTTAAACGCTACTCTTAACTTGTTTATGCTTTATTACAGCGCTGTTATATGCAATAGGGCCTGACCGATACACTGGCCGATACCGATGACCCGATAACTAGTAACTTTTTGGTTGACTCCCAGTATGAGCCCACTTATATTTATATTAACTGGAGAATTTGAGCACCATCAGCGTTCAAATGACACATACAAACATGCAAAATGCATCTGATTCTAACCTTCATCATGAGAATAACAAGACAATAAAAAAATTGAATGAAGGGAAACAATGAAATTTGAGCAAAATATCAGGTAATAAATGGAAAACCAAAGGTTTGAGATACAATGGAGAAATTACATCAGGCAGTAAAGCTGTTTAACTAAAACGATTGTTTAAATTAATTAAATGTAAAATTTTATTGTCCGATATTATCAGATATCGCAATTTGTAGACCTTTAAAATCACGTTCAACCATGAAAATTTTATATCGGAGGCTCTAATTTTAAAAATACATTCCTATCAGCTGATGTTTATCAGTTATTGGAATATTTAGACCCTTAAAATCACTTTGAACCACCTAATTTTCATATTAGTCTCTAATATTAAAAAAATTTATGAGTCAATATTTATAGGTTACTGGAATTTTTAGACTTTAAAATCGGTATCGGCCTCAAAACTATCCTATCAGTCTGGCTCTATGTAGACCATTGTCTGACCAAAGCACCACGAGTCATTAATATTAATATTAGTGTAAAACGCAGCCGAGCGACACTACAGTCAATAACGCACACAGCACTTGAGCGTAAAGCATTAAAGAGGTAGTTTACATTCAATTCACACATTTAAGGTCACAGCTTTACTCACTGTGTTAAATCTTAATTCAAACAGTGAGACGTGTTTAAATTACATATTAAAAACAATCCCTGATGTTTATTTAGGTTTTTTTCAATGCACTTTCTTTGAGCATCTTTCTGTATTACTCTGCAGTTCAAATCGGTGTTTATGTTTATGTTTAATGTACATAGCAAACATTTTTGTATGTATTTCTTTCACGCCGACTCACGTGATGTTTATTCAAAGGGATCATAAACGGGAAAGTGTGGAGGGTTTATTTTAGGAAGGTGGTTATAAAGGTGTTTAATTTAGTACGTCGTTATTTGTCCAAAGAATCCAGAATGTGGAAATATAATTAGTCACAAACTGTGAAACACGTTATCATTGCCTTTAAATATGCACAGTGAATTTGACACATATATAAAGAGCCTATAGATATAGATATATATATATTTTAGATTGAGATAAAGAAATGTGAGTAAGCCATTGTACTGAATGTGACGCTTTGAGTGCAAAGCTGCTATACTGCCATGCCGTGCCTCCTCTTTTTCCTTTTTTTGTACTTATAATGAACATGTATCATGCTCCAAATTGTATTTGTACAATAAAATTAAAAATAACATTTTATTTGTTCATTTTTTTCTCCAAGATAAACTGATTACTGCACACATCATTTATTAAATAACATATAAAGGCTTCACAATCTTTACAGCTGGATATGGACCATCTCTCCTTCACCTCAAAGCCTGCACAAGCTGAAGGCGGTTGCTTAAAGGGAAATTCCACCAATTTTTCAAAATTCATCATAATTTACTTACATTGAGATGTGAGGTTAGATGTGGACACCCTGCATGAACCCTCTGCCATGAATGTAATCTAAACATAAGTTTTAGGCCAAAATCTCCTCAAAACTATCATAAAACAGTGTCTTATGCAGAAATTTCTTTATAGTGATAGAAGGAACCAGGCATCACAATGTCTCCAACACCAATATAGCCATTTTATTCACCATCCAAAACCACCAGTGAACCTACATGAGTCCTCTGACCTTTAATATGGAATGTTGGTGATGGAAAATCTGAAAAATATATATATTTTTTTTTCATTTTAGGCCAAAACCTCCTGACAACACTCAAGAAACAACCCCAAACAGTAAATCTGTTACCATTTCACGTAATAACTTGAGCTTTTTGAGGTGGACATCTGGTTCCTATCACCACCACTGTCAACTATGTTTCCCTAGAACGGCTCTAGAACCACTCTGAACAACTCTGTTTACATCTGAACAAGTTAATTCTGCAGAAATTCTGAAAAATCAGTGGAATTTCCCCTTTAAATATCATTTATTTGTTTGTACATCTCTATTGTTAGTAGAACACTGCCCTCTAGTGGCTGTCAGGCTGTATGACGTTACTGAAGCCTCAGCAGAAGATTCAATTCTTTACTGTACATTTCAATCAAGAAGACACTGTCCACGTCAGAGACTGCGGTGGAGAAGCTGGATGAAGAGACGTCTCCTCCAACAGCTGCTGGAGGAACTGAGGAGCAGCTCTTGTATCTAAATGTCCCCAAAACCTCATCTGACTTTAGTTCGCTCCAGTCTTTGGCACTCGGTACTTGGCAGCCGCCTTCGCCTCTTCGTCCAGTTCGTCCATGATCCGCTCCTGGGACACGGAGTAGAACGTGTAGCCGTCTGCAGGGAGGCAGTCAAGGCAGATACGAGCAAACGGCTGATGAGGTGACCACAGGTGGCCAATATGATAAATATGCATCATAATACAGAATTTTTCATCCTACATATAACACATCACGACAGGGCTGGGCAATGACGATGTTTATCGTTATCGTGATAAATGATGTCAGTATGCTTTTCTGAGTGTATCGTGGAAATCATTACTCTTCCCAACTGCATGTGATTACAAAGAGAGCCTCATTAGTCCTGTTTAACTGGATTTAGTGCAGCCGTGTGAGAAATGCTGAATACAAATCAATCAACCTTTATTTGAGTGACACAGCTCACATTTCACTCTCTAACCACCTCCACTCTGCCTGCACCTGTTTTACCTGATTACTATTATTGTCTTATTTTCATTGTTCTTTTATTTATTTATATATTATTATTATGATTATTTCATTATTTTAATCATTTTAATACACTTTAAGTTTACATTTGATCTTATTCTCCTTTTATTAACTTTTACATTTTAGCTACGTTTTAATTATTGTTTTTTATTTTCTACTGTATTTTTATTATTAATGTTTAATTTTTTTTACTTGATTTGAGTAATTTTTTAAATTAAATTTACTTTTATTACTTGATATGTTCTTACAAATTATCAATCCCTGTATCAACTCAGCAACACTGTAAATGAGGGTCACCCTCAATGCTCTCCGAGATTAAATAAAGGTTGATTGATTGAATACAAATAACAGTATTCGTAGTTTTTGATAGTATTTTTTAAATACTGATCTGTTCCAACAAATGGAGAAAATATATATTGTATCGAAAACTTAAAGTATCGTGATGTTACATTTGTGCCATATCGCCCACCTCTACGTCATATTTCATTTGATAAGGTGGAACTGAGGTTTTAGTGAATGCGTTCTGCGCTGCCAACCAAATTAAACATAATTCATTTCCTTTGAAATAAAACACACAGTTAGTGTTTATTAAGAGGGGAAATCAGGGTTGGTTGGCACAGCCTGTAAGAGGAACTCTTATTATGTAATATATTAAATTTGACTGCCCTTCTGACCAAAACCCATCCGTTTTGACGAGTTCTGAACAGTCAGTCAATATGAGGATAACATTTTTCTGCATTATTAAAACGTAAAAGTATATTAATTTATTTTAGTTTGTAAAAATGTGAATCTGCTTTATTGTGATGTTTAATTTAAAAGACAGATGGAGAACGTGTTGTAGTTCTGAAAAGGGTTCTATATAGCACCCAAAGGGATCTTCTATTGTGACGATGTCAAGCTTGTAACAACCGCAGAACCCTTTACAAAAGATTCTACATCAATTTGAAGAACCGTTTCACATCAAAGAACACTTTAATCATGCAAAAGGTTCTTTGAGAGTTCCTGGTTCTACATACAACCATTATCTTTTTTAAGAGTGATGTTGGAACATCTTTTTGAAAAAGGGTTCTATATAGGACCAAAAAAGACATCAGAACCCTTTTCAAAAATGTTCTATACAGCACCATATACCACACGTTCTCCATCAATCTGAAGAACCATTTCACCATGCAAAGGGTTCTTTGAGTGTTTATTGTTCTATATCGAACCACTGTCTTTACTAAAGAACAGTGCAGGATACGTGGGTCTCGTTAACTCAGGTAGGTCACTAGATCACATCGCTGTTCTCGGACGAAAACCTCGTATCTCCAAAATGGTAACTTTACAGGAGAAGGAAAAAACCTACTTTACTTTTAATGTAAGTCAATGGAACCAGACGTCTTTCCAAGCCATTTTGGGTCGTTTCTTTTGGTCCATTCATCATGAAATTTACACACAATGTGTAGAACAACAGGCATTTTCAAAATATGTCAAAAACTGAAAAACAACAAAAATGGAGATATGAGGTTTTCTTCTGACAGCAGGGATATGAATCGCTTACAGACACATTATCATAACTCAGTAAGCGGCTCGTTTAGTAAAGTGAGGAGGAAATATCACAGCTGGTCACGTTTCAGTGAAAAACATTCACTAACTTAATTAATCAGCTTTTAAGGCTGTGATATGGCACAGTTTTAAAACTGGCCCAGATAACCTGGTTTAACTTAAAGGGCCCATATAACGGAAAATAACGTCCTCACTTTTTTAAATGCATTCAGGGAGTTTGACTTTAATAAGTAGTGTTCACTCCCAGTCCATTCCATGTAGTCCATGTATGGAAACTACGCTGCACAGACGGCCCATTCTGAACTGGTTTTGTGATGTCACAAGAAACACATTCGCTTATATCCGCCTATTCAGCCGACAGCAGTTTAGCTCCGCCCTTGTAGCGTACACTGATAAGGACAGTTTCAGTTACTGCTTTTTAGACGTGCCACAGCCTGGTTCAGTCTAAGGGATGAAGAGAGGCCAGAAAACGAGAGGCAAAAATGAATTATGTCTATTTATGATCACGTAAAACCACACAAACAGAAAAAATAAAATACAAGAAAATGAAGGGTATGGGCCCTTTAAAGACATCGTGATTTTAGGCTTAAAATGAAAGGAACTGACATTTTCTATACAATGAAGCTGAACATATTACATTTAGCTGAAAGCTACAGAGCTGAAGTAGCTTCTTATTGGAATTACCCGTTCCACCTTAAATGTTGCAACAGTAACTAGCACTATTTAAGGTGGAACAGGGAATTCTAATGAGAAACCAACTTCAGCTTCGTGTGTTATGGTGTGTAATGTTATGTAAAGGTGTGTTATGGTGTGTAAAAGTCTGTGAAGGTGTGTAATGGTTCGTAATGGTGTGTAAAGGTCTGTAATGGTTCGTAATGTTATGTAAAGGTAAATTATGGTGTGTGAAGGTGTGTAATGGTTCGTAATGGTGTATAAAGGTCTGTAATGGTGTGTAATGGTTCGTAATGTTATGTAAAGGTGAATTATGGTGTGTAAAGGTCTGTGAAGGTGTGTAATGGTGTGTAAAGGTACTGGAGGATACAGATGCCCATCACCGCAGCTCCGATGGCGAGCCCGGTTATGATGTTCCTCCCGCGGAGCTTCTGGCTTCTCTTCTTCCACTGAGCGAGTTCGGCCTGGCGGATGAACTGCAGCTGCTCCCGGCTCAGGCTCTCCTTCGCTGGGTCGATCCTCTTAGCGAATTCAGGCTGACCCGCCGCTTTGCCCTCCTTGTCCGCCATGCTTTCACCTACGGTGTGCGCTGCGCATGCGCAGTGGCGTTACAGAACAGCGGCTGTGTCTCAAATCGAGCGCTCGTCCCCTAAGAACTGATCTAATGTCCTTTCAAGGTCAAGTGCAAGTCTGGTTCTTCGGGCTTCTCGCTGTTCTGAAGACGCCGTTTAATACTTTCGGTTTGAAAACAAAGAACCTCTGTTCACCGCCGAAGGCTTTTATTTTGGAATTTGTTGCGGATCATATTATGGGCACAAGGTCATCTGGGCCGGTTTTACGACGGTGCCGTATTATAGCTGTAAAAGCTGATTGCTTTCCAAACCCACAGTTTTTTATTCATTTAATTAAATTAATTAATTATTTTTTATTTTTTAATGTATTTTTATTTAATTTTATTAAAGTTTATTTTTATTTTGTTTCCAGTTTTACAACTGTGCCTTAGAGCAGCCTTAAAAGCTGATTACTCTCCAGACCCATAGTTTTTGTTAATTTAATTTAATTCAATTATTTTTTAACGTAATTTAAATAATAATAAAAATAATGTAAAAGTTTTTCTTGTTTATTTTCTTATCCATGCTGTCACTTTTGTCTTTTAATACCCTGTAAAGCAGTTTGAACTGCTCTCTTGTATGAACTCAGCTATATAAAGTTTATTATTGTTATTATTATTATTATTATGACTATTATTATTATTATCGTTGATGTTTTGTTGTTGGTGGTGGTAATATGAGCAGTAGTAGTAGTAGTAAGATTAGTATTAGATTATTATAAAATTATTATTATCATTATTATTATGACTATTATTATTATTATTATCGTTGATGTTTTGTTGGTGGTGGTGGTAATATGAGCAGCAGCAGTAGTAAGATTAGTATTAGATCGTTATAAAATTATTTTTATTGCTGTTGAGGGACTGTTCCAATTTTTGGTTCCATCTAGTCATCGCCATGTGCATTTTGGAGGGGGGGGGGCTTAATCTCGAATGGCCCTACTCCCTCTGTAGTGCACTATGTAAGCCATGAAATAACTACACACAAACGGTGCATTGTATGTTCAAGGTAAAGCTATTTGGAATGCAGCCACACGCTATATGACTCCCTATTTACATTTAGTGCACTGTTTGGTGTAGAAGCCACCAAAACGTATGTAGTGCCCTAGTTTATGCAGGGAACAGTGATGTAAATCATATCAGTGTAAAGTGAAACTAAATAAAACTATAATAATAATTATGTTTGTGGTTGTTAATCGCCACTAAAATATCCCTACATTTATTTGTTAAAACGTTTAGTTTTTACTGTTATTTTGAGTAAGTTTAGAAGTCGATCATTTTTATTTTCACTCAAGTACGTTTTTTGCTCTGTGCACATAACAACAATAGTTAATGGGCAATGCCACCGATTTTTCGAAATTTCTGCATAATTCAGCGTTTGAGATGTGAACAGAGTCATCCAGAGGTTTGATGTAAAATGGTTCAGATTTCTTCACCCAGCCAGTTTGCTGGCTATCTGCACGCTTGAGAGGAGGAAGATTCGGAATTTGTCACCCAGATTCTTGAAGATAAGATCTTCATAGCTTTCTTTGGCTCCACAGGAGGCGCCGTCACTGGTCCTGCTCTTCTGGATGGAGAACAAATTCTCAATATGCTTCACCATAAACCTGGAATAAGAAAGAACTGTTTGATCGACAGTGCCTACAGACAATGACAGTGAAGTTCAGCTATATTTAAAGGGCAATTACACCAATTTTCCAAAATTTCTGCATAACTCAATCATTAAAATGTAAACAAAGTGACTTCTTTACAGTGGTGGTGGTGATAGGAACCAGGGGTCGCCATGACTACAACACAAATATAGACATTTTATTTACTATCCAGAACCACCAGTGAACCTACACGAGTCTTCTGAGTTTATATGGAATGTTGATGATGGAAAATAGTGGAACATCTGAAACATACATATATTTTTTTCATTTTAAGCCAAAACCTTCTCAAAACAATCTCAAACAGTGGATTCATAACCATTTCATGTAGTAACTTTCTGTGAGGGAGCTTTTAGAGGTGGACGTCTGGTTCCTATCACCACCACTGTGAACAATTCTGACTCGGTAAGTTTATCTAGAACGGAGCGTTTCACACCAAACCACTCTGAACGACTCCTCTTAATCATGTAAACATTTTGAAAAATTGGTGAAGTTCCCCTTTACGCGTAGTTTCTCTGTATCTGCCCCTTTTTGACCGGACACGCCTAATAACAGCCGAGTCCCAGTTAGTGCACTACATACTGAGTAATGCGGCGATTTGGGACACAAGCCTGCGTCAGTTCGCACTGCGCAGGCGCAGTTGATGTTTCACGCTGGCCGGTGGTAGAAAAGCAGACGGTTGGAAATGGAGATGCTGCCATCTGGCGTCTAATTTGGGTAAACACGCCACCTTTTTGTCTTCAAAACTGTCTAAAAATCTCATAAATCTCTCCAAACAGCACCTTCGCTGTGTGGACGTGTGTTAATGATATAATAATTAACAGCCTTCTGTCTAAACCTACAATGGCGGCACCCTTTTCACCAAACGGTCAGAGGAGCCTCCGGTTCGGCGAGGCCTCGTCTGACATTCTATCAGACTTTCTAACTAACCTCGACAACGGAAACAAACGCAGCCTGGAGAGAATTTCAGCCGCCTGTGGGCAGTTTAAAGCTAAAAAAGTGGTTGGTAAGTTAAATATATTTAAATGTGAAATGTCTACTCAGTTTTAGGCGATTCGCCAGCTTCCTATTGGAACTTCCCGTTCCACCTTAAATGGTGCAGCAGTTACATTGAGGCGCCTGAGGCCCCAGAAAGTAACTGCTGCACCATTTAAGGTGGAACGGGAAGTTCCAAAAAGAAGCTAACTTCAGCTTAGTAGCTTTTAGCTAAATGTAATATATTCAGCTTCACTGTATGGAAAATGGACCAGTGAAGTATCTATCTATCTATCTATCTATCTATCTATCTATCCACCCATCCATCCATCAATCCAAACCCATCCACCCATCCATCCATCCATCCACCCACCCATCCATCCATCCATCTATCCATCCATCCATCTACCTACCTACGTACCTACCTACCTATCCATCCATTCATCCATCCATCCATCCATCCATCTATCTATCTATCTATCTATCTATCTATCTATCCATCTATCCATCGATTCATCTATTTGTCTATCTTTAAAGGGCCTATACCCTAATTTTTTTGTATTTTATTTTTTTCCTTTTGTGTGGTTTTGTTTATCATAAATAGTTTGTTTTTACCTCTCGCTCCCTCTCTTAGAATTAATCAGGCTGTTTCTGTCACTGTGCCATTAGGACTGATGTATGTAAATGAGCTCTGCTCTGATTGGTGCCACATGCAAAAAGCACTAATTAAAACACTCCGTATAACTTCAGGGTAAACAGGCGGAGCTGAACTGCTGTAGGCTGAATAGACAGATATATGCAAATGTGTTGTTTTTTGTGACGTCACAAAAACAGTGTATTCTAAATGGGCTGTCTTTGCAGCCCAGTTTTCATTGAGGGACTGTGTGGACTGGAGTGAACATTACTTTTAAAAAGTGGGGATTGTTTCTATGATACGGCCCCTTTAAAAGGTCTGTTATGATGTCTGATATCTTTTCCTTTGTCACTACCTGCAGAACATGCTTTTCTTATTTGTGAGCAGTTGGAATTGGACCCTTTAGTTGGTTATCACGCCATTGAAATACTGGACAGGCAAGTCACAGAACTGGTTGAAGGGATATCCCACCAATTTTTCAAAATTCCTGCTTGATTAAATGTTTAAGATGTAAACAGAGTCATTCAGAGTGGTTTGGTGTGAAACGCTCTGCTCTAGAGTCAGAATTGTTCACAGTGGTGGTGATAGGACCCAGACGTCCACCTCTAAAAGCTCCTTCACAGAAAGTTACTACATGAAATGGTTATGAATTCACTGTTTGAGATTGTTTTGAGAAGGTTTTGGCTTATAATGAAAAAAAAATATATACATTTCAGATTTTCCACTATTTTCCATCATCAACATTCCATATAAACTCAGAAGACTCGTGTAGGTTCACTGGTGGTTCTGGATAGTAAATAAAATGTCTATATTTGTGTTGTAGTCATGGCAACCCCTGGTTCCTATCACCACCACTGTAAAGAAGTCACTTTGTTTACATTTTAATGATTGAGTTATGCAGAAATTTTGGAAAATTGGTGTAATTGCCCTTTAAATATAGCTGAACTTCACTGTCATTGTCTGTAGGCACTGTCGATCAAACAGTTCTTTCCTGTTCCAGGTTTATGGTGAAGCATATTGAGAATTTGTTCTCCATCCAGAAGAGCAGGACCAGTGACGGCGCCTCCTGTGGAGCCAAAGAAAGCTATGAAGATCTTGTCTTCAAGAATCTGGGTGACAAATTCCGAATCTTCCTCCTCTCAAGCGTGCAGATAGCCAGCAAACTGGCCTTACACTCCAAGGTAAGAGACTGAGGGGCGATCTAGACGAAAAATGAACACCTGTTGTGAAGTAATTACATTACAGCTGATTCCTCTGTTAAATGTAGGCCGTCGACAACAACTCTGCGTCACGATATCTTCAGTCGCTCGGCAGCAGCTGCCCCAAAGAAAAGCTCCTGGAGTCAGAGCTCCTCATCCTGAAAACTCTGGACTTCCAGCTGAACGTACCAAACCCTCTGCTGTATGTTGAGACCCTCCTGGAAGTTCTGGGTGAGCTGTTTTTAGCCATCTGGCAAACTGAAGGTTGCTGTGGTCAGTTTATCATACTATTTAACGTGGAAACGTTAGAGCTGGGCGATATGGCGAACATATAATATCACGATACTTCAAGAAATTTTCACGATATGCGATATATCACGATATTTATTTTTTCAGACATTTGATCAGTTGGAACCAAGAAAAACGAACCTACATTTAAAAAAAAAATACTATAAAAACTGTGAACATAATGGTTTTTATTTAGTATTTGGCACTAAATCCAGTGAAACGGGACTATTTCTGCTCTCTTTATAATGAAATATGCAGTTGGTCAGTTCCTAGAAGTACTGATAATATAGGAATATTGGGTTTTATTGTTTTATAGCTTATTTTATTTTTGGGTTTTATAATTTTTTTCTTATTTAGAAAAAAATTAGAGGTGGGCGATATGGCAACAATCTAATATCGCGATACTTTAAGAAATGTTCAGTACACGATATATCATGATATTTACTTTTTCAGACATCTGATCAGTTGCAACCAAGAAAAACTACAAATACTATAAAAACACTGTGAACATTTAGTATTTGGCACTAAATCCAGTGAAATGGGATTAATTTTGCTCTCTTTAAAATGCAACATGCTGTTGGTCAGTTTCTACAAGTGCTGATAATATCCACAGTATGTTCAGAAAAGCATATTGTATTGTATTGTGACATAATTTATCACGATAACGATAGGAACGAAGGAAATGTTTTTGTTCTGTTTTTCTGCCCCTACAGGCCACAATGACCCAACCACGCCTGTTGCGCAGCTGCACCACCTGGGCAAGTACGTTCTTCAGTTTATCTACCTGCAGAGGGAGCCGATCTACCAGTCCCTGCTGGTGGCTGCTACTGGGCGTCTCAGCCCGTCTCCAGAGCAAAGGTAGCTGCAGAACTTGTGTGTGCATTTTTTATTGTAGTGTTTTAGTTACAAAAGCTCCAGTTTCATTTCTTTAAAACTGAAAAAGCAAGTCTGTTTCTTTTTGGCTGCTGTGGTTAAATGTTGGGGATAAGTTTAGGTATATCCTAGGCCCAGTCCCATTTCTTAAGTTTATCCCTTCCCGTTGTTTTCGAGTGTTGCCCCTTGGAACTGAGTTACAGGGTAGTGGTTGAAATCTTCCTCTGAAATGGGACCCTCAAATAAAAAGAGCATCACTTCATTAACAGCTACCAGCGCTGCTCTGTAGGCGACCCTGCCAGTCTGCAGTGACAGCAGAGGAGGGTAAAGTTCAGCTCCTCACTGCTGGGCTTTAGTTACATTTAGGGCATCATATGCCTTCAAAGGGGGGGGCAATTATTTATTATCACCCACCCCTAATTCTTCAGTGATATGAAGCTGAAGTCAGATATTCACCAGCTTCTGGTCATCATTTAAGGTGGAACGGGAAATTTAGCTAGCGAGCTACCAAGACAACAGCATAATATTAGTGATTTTTTAAATGTTTTTTAAGAAGAAAAGGACCAAAATACACTGAAACACAATTCTTTGGTGTCTTTCAGCCGTCTCACCGGTTTTTCTTTTTTTCTCATGACACTCTGTCTGAAGGGCCATGTAGCCCTAACACTTCACCCCACCCCCCTATCTCAACAAGAATCGGGACACCCTCCCTAGACATGAACGCACAAAAAACAGTGTGTTAAGGGCTGAAGTGGTAGGAGCGAGGGGTGAAATGGGACTGGGCCTTAGTCTAAAGTACCTAAGCAGATGGTTTAAAATCATTTAATCTACACAATAATTGTGTTTTTTCATGTAAAAGCCCGATGTATGTATGATTATGTGATAATGTAAGTGTGAATGAACATAAATACAGTAACAAGAATAGCTTGAAAAACACTGCTTGGAGTTCAGATTTTCTCTTGGACTCCTAAAGTCATCGCATGGATTTGTTAAATCCTCACAGCAGCACTTGATTTTTAATTAATTTAGTGAAGTATTGATTAACTAAACCAGATATTGGATGATGGGTTAATAATATCGGGCTTCCTCGAGGAGAGGTTTGGAAATCCTTACAAAAAACACACTGACATACAAAAAAATTACTACTTATTGTAATTATGTTAATGTTATTTGTGTTTATTTTAATGTTAGTGTTTAGTAGAGCAAATAAACACTCACTGCCCAGATAAATAGCTCAGTTGCTTAGGTGCCTAAAATTTTTGCACAATGTTGTATATCTAATGTTATGTTATGAGTGTATGTGCAGTTTGGGCGCCCCTGGTTTTGTTGATTTTTTTTTTTTTATAAGTTAAGGCAACACAAGTTTATTTATACAGCACGTTTTATACCCTGCAATCGTTCAAAGTGCTTTACAAATGATAAAATACAAAGGTAATTCAAATTATAATTTAAAAAGTAACGCAAAGTAAAGGAGAATAGAAATTAAATACATGATTAAAACACAATTAAAACCAGATATTTTAAAAGAGAATAAATTAATCATTAAATTAAGGAGGGAAGTTTTCAGTCTGGATTTAAAAGTGTAAAGACATCCTCTATGAACAAAGACATGTTTGACCAGTGGTCTTCAAACGTTTACATATGACAGTAAGTGTATATATACATATACATCCCATGTGTAATCATATGTCATGTGCTTAAAAAAGAGTCTGAATCAGTGCACAGCGCTCTGTTCTCTGTTGCTTTTTGCACTCATGGGTATGTTGTTCATGTTTCTGGTGAGTTTTATGGTCTCAGTACTGCAGCAGGTACTGCTCTATTAGTAAATGCACTTTCTGATCATGGACTGTTTCTTTGTGTGTAACAGGGCGAACTTTATGTCGGTGACTGAGGACTGCATGCTGTTAGGAGTCGGAGTCATCGCAGTGTCGGCTTTCATCTACCAAGCGTCTGCCTGGGAGAAGGTAACTCAGTCCTGCACTTCAGAGATCAGACTAGGCAGCATCCGCATCAGAATCGGCCAAATCAGAATCAGTTTCTGCTCCAAACGTGCAGTTGGTCAGTATATCATTTAGATAAGGTACACTGAACACTGCTGCTACACCTGAACCAAAGTGCTGCGTAATTAAACATGACATAACCAGGCACTTCCTGCTTTCAGTGTAGCACTTTTTATTCACATTACTCACACGTTTTATGTATGAAAAGTAAATTCATTATATAATTTATTTGTACATGACCGTTTTTGAACCACCATTGAATTCACTAAATTGTTTCCATATGTGGACCAAGGGGTGAACTGTACGTTCTGAGACTTGGAGACAATGTTTACATACCACATCAAACTCTTTTACTTGGAGACAACAAATAATATGTAGTTTTTCATTATATATATATAATGAAATAATATAAGCAGTAGAACATGAGAGGGAGAGTGTTATGTCAAAATAACATCACAGCTGTGATTTCGGCGAAATTAATAAACTGGGCCGTGAACGCGGCGTTTAATATGTTTTAATGTTCGCAATTCCTTCACCAAATTATAGTTCCTTAATGAGCAGCTTGTTGCTACGTCAGAGTAACGAGCTCCGCCCACTCGCTGCACAGCCGGCAGTTCGTTCTCCAGCTCCACACAGACCAACTGACAGTTTGGGAATTTAGTGTCGTCTCATCTTCAGAGTCTGACCAAATCGGTCTGTCGGTCAAATGTGATCTTAAAAGTGTCCATTTTCTGTTTGTGGCAAAGTAAGAAGTAAAAACGTTCAAATGTCTTGAGCGTCTCCTACAGCTGTCAAAGTCGTTGTTAGCAACGGCGTCTCAGCGGAGTGATACAGTGTTTGTGAAAAACCCGTGATGTTATGGTGAAATAACAGCACAGTTAGAGCGCTTCTCAACCAATCAGCTCGCAGTGGCCGGAACTGACTGTTGTGTGTATATATATGTGTATATATATGTATATATATATATATATATACATAAATATATATGTATGTATATATAATGTGATTGGTACTCTCTGACTGGGGTTCAGTCCCCCTTGTAGTTGGCCCCCCTGGGCAAGCACCCTACGCTATATCAATAAGAGTCCTTGGGCAAGACTCCCAACACTGTTTTTAAAGGTATATTAAACGTGCATGTTTAATACAGCCGGATGTTTTCTGAGCAGTTGTGAAAATAGGTAGCACTGTTCGAGTTCTTTCCACTACAGAAAGGCTGTAGTCCGTTCTGCTCGTCTCTCTCTGTAAGAGTTGAACAGCAGCAGTGTTCCTTTTAAAGCGCTCTCTCTCGTCTCCTCAGTGCAGCTCTGCCTCTCCATCACGTTGTTTGGGTTTGTTTGCGTTTGTTGAAAGAGGCACGTGCAGAAATCTGTCACACGACACCAAATCTGTGAGTTAATGCTTATTTTTCTCCCAAAAAAAGGTTTCCATTGTAGGTTTTCACATCATTTCCGGTAGTGACAAAACTTTTTACTGTACAGTTGAGCAGAGAAAAAGTTTTGTCAACATCCACAAAATATGAGCAACATTTTCCACTTCGGACAAACGTTTAGAAGCGTTAAAACTTTTTTTGTCAAAATTTCTTTGTATGGAAACTTGGTCATCATCCAGTTTGAGCATAATATGCCCACACTGGCTGAGATTCGGGGGTGTTTTGTACACAGATGAGGGCACCTTGTCAGAATATTATATAGCCCAGCTGTTTACATTACAGATTAAGCCGTCCTTCTAGATTTGCACTGTTAGATTTTGTTCATATTGATTTATTACATTTGATTTGATTTTCTTTCGGGGCATTTTTCTTCGTACTTGTGATTTAAAGGGTAAAAATGTTGCCCCCTGGTTATTTCTGACATTATCACAGTTAGGAGTGGACCGTATGATGTTTATAGTTGTAGTGATAAATTATATCACATTATATCACAATATGCTTTTCTCAGTGTATCATGGGCATCGTCAGCAGTTCAAAAACTCTGACTAACTGCATGTTTCATTACAAAGAGAGCATAATTACTCCTCTTTGACTGGATTTAGTGAAACATATAAACAAACAACAAAATCATTGTGTTTTTTAAATTGGCACATTTGGTTCTTTTGTTTTTAAACCTCAGAAAAATATAAACATTGTGATGCATTTTGTGTATTGTGTATGTTTTGAAGTATCGTAATATATGACATATCGTCCACTCCTAATCTCAGTACAGTCAGACATTAAAATAAAGCTTTTTCTGAGGTTAAAACTCCAGACTCCACTTCGAACCCAGCGTTTGTGTGTTGGTTTGTGCTGTAGGTGGTGGAGGAGCTCACTCTGATCACTGGTTTCTCAGCAAGGAGCATCATGGACTTTGCTCATGTAACTCTGACGCACATCACCAAGAACAGAGAACCATGATCTTTAGGTAACCTTTGGTTAGTAGTGTTTTCAGTTCTCAGTGTCTCCAAAAATTGTGTAAAGAGCAGCTGAATCCTGGGTAGAACTTACAACAGGGCTGAAAATCTTCATTTCAGTTTAATTTTATTTGGAGTTTCCACACTGAGTATGAGGAGATCGAGAGCTTACATATAACATAAAATACAGATCCATGACGAAGCCATTCAGAATAAATACCAGTTCAGTTGAAATAATTGTATCCTTCATCTAGTAAACTGTAAAATTCTTTATCTCTGTTCGTCTCATTGTTTTATCATTTTATTACATGAATGAATCAGTAGGAGCTGCTGTCTGCGGTCAGGTGGATCCTCAGACAGTTTATAGACGATTTTGGGTCAGTGGTCAGTCCTGTTGTCGGGGTTGCTGCCCTCTGGCCTCACCGCCTGACTTGCGCTCTCTGGGCTGGAGGTCGAGCCCTCGACTCCAAAGCCTGACAGAGAGAGAAGTGTGGACAAGAAGTATATTGTCACTGTCAGAACAAAATTTCATATCTCTGAAATGGTAACATGAGAAGTAAAAAAGTTACGGAATTATTATTTCTATTGGTCCATTTTTTCTAAATGTGAAGGGCAGTTTTCAGAGGGAGTAAAAAATGTAAAACTGAAAAAACAGAAGAGGTTTTAATAAGACAGTGACGTTATGTATATACGGTAGCAGTCAGAAATTTGAAGACACCTACTTGATAGGTGTGTTTTTTTAAAACTATTTTCCACAACTTACAATAATAATAAAGACATCAGAACTATTATTATTATTATTCTTATTCTTATTCTTATTATTATTATTGTTATTATTATTATATTGTAGAACCTGCTGTTGCTGAAAAGTACATGTTGGGGGCATCTAAAAAAATCCAACAAAAAATGAAAAATGTAAAATTAAAAATAAATGAATAAGTAAATTTTTTTTACTTTTCCTTTTTTAGATTATTTTTTTTTTCATTTTTCATATTTTATTTTCATTTTTTTTCATATTAATTTTTTTTTGTCTTAGAAACAGCTTTCATTTGCCCTTAAGCATAAACCGTTTGATTAGACCTGTTTGATACCCTAACAAAAAAGTCAGAAATTATTGGTGCATTATTGGTGATAATATCAGCCAATGTTATCTGCCTACCGATATATCAGTCGGGCTGTAATACATACAGTATCAAATTTGTGAAGGTCTCCACTTCATGGGATCGAGTACTGAAAGGCAGTCGGACCTGCTTTAATGCTCTTCCTCATTTTATGGTAATGAATCATGTTATAGAATTTCCTGCGTAGACTGTGACTAAAATGACCGTGAAACCTCCTGTAATGTCTTAATCACAGCATCTCTCTGTGCTCTTATTTTAATTAACTGAACATTCACACTTAAAGCATCTCTCTGTGTTTCTGACACCTACTGTGTGGCCCTGCAGCTCGCTGGAGAAGACAGAGCCTGGCAGCGATCTACGTTAAAGGGGAAAATACTTTAAATGCTGAAGAACTCATGAGGAAAACAACAGAGGCTAAAATGAAGGCGGTATTTGCGCTATGCTAAATACAGCAGTTGTGAATGACACAACGTACCCTGGATATGGTGGTCCTGTCTGTCTGAGTCAGCTGCAGTAGCTCTGAAAATCTTTGCTGCAGCAGCAACAGCAGAAACAGCTGAGGAGTGTCCTGCCTGATCTGAGAGAGAAAGCGAGAGGGAAACGGAGTGGTGACAAAAATAGAAAGGCGCAGTATTTTAATGAATTTGATCACTTTTAAATTTTTATCTGCATAATTAAGTGGTTAAGCTGTAAACAGAGTCATTCAGAGAGGTTTGGTGTGAAACGCTCTGTTCTAGATAAACTTACTGAGTCAGAACTGTTCACAGTGGTGGTGATAGGAACCAGACGTCCACCTCTAAAAGCTCCCTCACAGAAAGTTACTACATGAAATGGTTATGAATTCACTGCCTGATGAGAAATTGTCTTGCGAAAGATATTTAAAATATCAGGTTTTGGCCTAAAACATATTATTAATACATTTTTGGTGGAGGGATACATGCAGGACGTTCTAAGGCAAATAGTCCCCAAAGAAAGAAAACTTATTTCAGATTTATCACTATTTTCCTTCATCATCATTCCATATTAAACTCAGAAGACACGTGTAGGTTCACTGGTTGTTCTGGCTAGTAAATAAAATGGCTATGGTGACCCCAGGTTCCTATCACCGCCATCACCAGACCATCATCTGAATAACTTTGTTCTCATCAACATCTCATCAACTGACTTAAGCAGAAATGTTTAAAAATCAGTGGAATGTCCCTTTATACACACACTGAGTGTTACCTGAGTGGATCTGTGTTGGCAGTAATACTCCTCCACATCAAAATCATCCAAATCCAGAGTCAGACTCCCTTTACAAAGCTCACAGGTCTTCACCCCTGAGAGCTCAGCACCTGTGCGAAGAGTCACTATCGTTTATATTAGTAAACCTGCTGATTATTTTGATGAGTAATCAAAATTATTTAAACTTAAATGAACAATAAAAAAACATCCACAGGATCAAAAATACTTTACTGGAAAAAGATGAATTAGGAAAAATATCAAAACAGCTGAGTGAAGCAGCCGTCAGTACACACTTAAAAATGATGCTTCTTCAAGGGTTCTTTAGTAAAGAAAATGGTTCTATATAGAACCGTGAACACTCAAAGAACCCTTTGCATTATTAAAGGGTTCTTTGCATCGTGAAAGGGTTCGTCAGATTGATGGAGAATGCACCATAGACGGTTCTATATAGAACCTTTCTGAAAAGCGTTCTGTAAACCGCTAAAAAGATGTATTCTATTGTAACAAGCTTGACATTGTAACAATAGAAGAACAATTTTTCAAAAAGGTTCCATGTAGAACCATCTACACTCTTAAAAAAGATGGATCTTTAAGGGTTCTTCAGTAAAGAAAATGGTTGTACATAGAATCATGAACACTTCAAGAATTTTTTGCATGATTAAAGGGTTCTTTGCATTGTGAAAGAGTTCTTCAGATTTGTGGAGAATGTGCTGTAGATGGTTCTATCTATAAAGGGTTCCTCTATTGTTACAAGCCAAAGAAACGTTTTTGCAAAGAGTGTACAGCACATCTCCATCAATCTGAAGAACGCTTTCACAATGCAAAGAACTCTTCAATCACAAAAGAGTGGTTCTTTGTGTTCATGGTTCTATATCGAACCATTTTCTGGACTAAAGAACCCTTGAAGAAGCATTTTTAAGTGTGTAGGCCTCAGTATACGAAACAAAGCTCACAAGCGTTGCATAAAGACAAAACCGCAAGTTTACAAGCTCGCACACTTATGTGGTTCCACTGGGGCGTCTATTAGCTGATTTAACTGGACTAGGAGTTAGTGTTCTCCTCCAAGCGTGTTGAGCTCTAATGATGTTGTGTTAGCGGCAGTGTGAAAAGATGTGGTGGAGCTTCAGTTACTGTGTCCCAATTCAGGGGCTGCATCCTTCGAAGGCTGCGTAGACCCGGGAAGGCTGAACTGATATGAGACGGTCTGCTCTATGGCTCTTCCTGTTTGAGTCACGGCACCACTGTTCCCACCCTCACTGCTGCGTCACGAAATGCCGCTCCTGTCAAGTTCTTTTAAAGTTCTTTAAAGATGGAGAAACTCTGATTTTAGTTGTTTTTTTTTTCATTTATTAGAGTTGGAGATGCTGGTCTCTGTCGGCTCTTTGCTGTTCACTCCTCTGCTGACGCCGCCATATTTTCCAATCTTCACCGGCATGCAGTGAACCTCAGGATATGTTGGCTGGCGAAGGATCCACCCGGCATGGAAAAGAAGGACACATTCCTCGGCCGCATATGAAGGAGCCTTCGAAATGGGACAGCCTAGTTGCGCTGCTGTGATGCAGTCGGCCTTCAAATGCAGCCTTCGAAGGATGCACCCCCTGAATTGGGACGCAGCCAGTGTCTCAGAGGAAGCTCGTGCTAGCCTTCACATGATGGTAGCGTCGTGGGACGGGAAGACCTGGCTAGCACGTGGAACTGGACAGGACTAAACTGGGGAAAAGTTTAGTAAAAAAATCCAAAAACAAACAAAGAAAACTAGACCTGTGACCATGTTAGTAATCAACTAACCTGCTGATTAAATTTGACGATTCGTTGAGTAATCAGAGGTTTTACACAACGCTAAAGAACAAAAATGGACTTTTTGAACATCCATGGCTGTTCAAAGACTCCAGATTACTATACTGGAAAAACATAAACTACGAAGCCCTTAAAGTAAGTTCATTAAAAAAAAGCTAAAAACCAAATGTGGCAAAAATGCGTGTAAATCCATCAGCCTCTGCTTCTGACTGACCAGTTGGAGAATTTGAGATATGCATTATCATCACACATATTGCCAAACTATACTTGCCACTTCATTGAAAACGTACATTTCGATCTGTTTTTTTAATCGAGTTTAGGAATCAAAGCATCCCACACATAAACCCATGGACAGAAAAAAAGATGCCCCATTTTTTATGGCCTTAAGGCTACTAGGTTCTTCTGTTTGCGGTCACCCAGGGAGAGGCACTCCTACTGACCTGACTTTATTTTGGTCTGGATCCAGCGCTTCAGGCAGTCATGGTGGATGTACTGCAGACTGCCAGAACACTGGCAGGGGGAGAGGAGGGGGTTGGTGGGGGACGTTCCCTTACACTGGCAGATGCGACACACATCCTCATCCTCTTCATCAGACTCTTCCTCTAACAGTCTACAGCAACGGGAAAATATGACCGAGGATTCCTGTTAAACATGATCTATTTATATTACAGCACTGTGCAAAAGTCAGAGACCTTCATGTATTTCATTTCCCGTCATTCAAGTTGTTTATCGTTTAGCGTCGGAAAAAAAATCTGATTATATATGAAGCCTCAACAGCTAAATATATCAGATTTCTCAATATTTTCAGGGCAGCTCAGTTTCACTCTCTTTCAGCTCCTCAAAGAATCTGCAGACACACCTCCAAAGTTCAGTCTTAGAAGCTGGTTGATCATTTTCTGAAGTGATCAAACACATTCAGTGGTGTTGAGGTCTGGACTCTGGGGTGGTCAGTCCATCGTTCAGCTTCTTTGTTTGATGTGTCCGTCTCCTTTTCTCAGAGAGGTTCTTCTTGATCAGCTACACATCCTTTCAGACCCACAGCGCTGAGTCGTCTTCTCACAGTGGAAGGATGGACAGAAACACCTGTGGATGTTTTCAGATCTGAAGCAGCTTGATTTTCTCCTCTCTCTCAGAGATGAAAGCTTTAAGTGCTGTTTATCTGATGGGGGCAGTTTTGGGGTCTACCAGGTGTTCCAGGTGGTTGTTAGGAGTCTCATGTTCTTATTTAGTCACTTATTTTCTTTTGACTTTCTTCTTCCTCGTGCAAGTGGATGATCTTATATCTAACCTCTTAGAAATATTTCCTGAAAAATGAATAACTTGATGGCTGTTTTGACCGGAAAATAAATAAACGAATGGTCGACTATGACTTTTGCACAGTACTGTAAATTACACAAAATTATTTTTTAGTCATGTTGCTAAACTTAGTTATTCTATAGAATAAACCTGGTTCAAGCCAACTATAACAAACCTTTCTGTTATCCTGCGTAGAGTTTCAGGATTACTTGACCGTTTGCTTTCAGGGTTGCCAGAGCAACCTGCGTTGTGTGAACCATCCCTGTGACTGTGTGTTACTTCTAGGTGAAGGTCATGAAGTGCCATCAGGGCCAAATTCAAGTGGTCCATCAAGCTAGTTGTTCTTGGCTGGTATGCTTCTGCTGAAGTTGACCGACCTTCTGGAGGGGTTATTCCTCCAGCAGCACCCTCTTCCTCCTCCTCATCCTCACGCCCACTGGTAGTTGCGCCTGGTGAGGTTGTCGCCATCCTCCCCACGTCATCTAACACAGCTGGAGGAGCTCTCCCAGGGCTTACGGCCAGGGCTGGTAGACGATAGTCTGAGTGATCACTGGAGGTATCTCGTCTGTTAAAAGGGCTCCCACGGCCACCTTGCAGCTCTGGTGTCTGTCTGTGTGCTCCATATCCTTGGCGAGTGGACTCGTAACGTGAAAAACGTGGAGAACCTTGTGGAGAAAGAGAGGACATCTGTTGTAAAGTTGGTGGACTAGATAATGACCTTAGGTCATGCCAAGAAGTAAAATGCCCCTCGTCTTCATCCTCATCCGATTCTGTGGTCAGGTCCAACAAGGACTGGAAGTGTCCACTGATGGGTCCCACATTGGTACTTCCAGTGTTGGGACTGCTGGAGTCCAAGTCACTACTGGTAGAAGACCACAGCTCCTGGATAGAAGAGTCAGCTGAGCTGGTGGACGTAGTCCTGCTGTCTGAGCTTTCTGTGGTCAGGCTGTCTTCAGAGATGCTGCTGATGTCCAAGAGGCTCTGGAAAGGGTTATGGAGCTCTAGGGTCGGCTCGCTCTCTGGACTTGGAGAATAGTTCCCCAGGCTGGGGAAACGGGTCCAGTTAACATGGTTCTGATCTGGAGCAGTCAGTCGTCGTGGAAGGAAATCTACTCTTTGAATGTCCGTGGTGCTCTGTTCGTCATGCTGGGTGGTTTCCTGAGGGACGTAGGTTGCTATGATGTTAAGCTTTGATTCTAAGACGTTCTTTCTTCTGTTTTGGGTTCTTCTCGTAGTGCTTGGTGTATGTTTTGGTGACATCTTACAAAGTTTTGTCTTTGTGGTTGCTGATGTGGACTGATGGCAATGAGAAGATTGTTCCTTACCTTTAAGAGACATCAAATACGACATTTTTAAAATCACCTCATCCAGTCATCCTAACATTCTCACAGCTCTCAGGACTTTTTGTGGCATTCTGAATTAAAAACCAGAATTTGATACCATCTTTGGTAATGTTAGGTGGTATTTTACAGGGAGATTCACTTGAAAGAGGCCCCGAACATTCTGTTGTAACTCCCGTTAGGATGAACCAATCTGAACCAAAAAAATACACGACATACTTTGACGTATGTATAATCGGTTGCATTACATGCGATGCTGGAAGTGATCTCCATTTTCTGCCAGACACATGAAGGGGTACAGGGGTCTGCACCCGGAAGTTGCAAACGGTGGTTAAACGTTGCGACAGCTGTCTGGCGCCCCCCTCATCGCATTTCTACAGTACCCAGCATTTTTCTGCAAGTATGTCATACAACAAGAGGTGGGCAATATGGTGATATCATTGTGACAAAATGTTATCACCTTCATACACAATACGCTTTTCTGAGCATATCGTTGATTACGTCAGTACTTAAAGAACACCGGCCAACTTTACGTTTAAAAATAAAACATAACTACTTCTGTTTAATAGATTTTAGTGCAGTACATAGGGAGAAATGTTGAATAAATCATTGATCTCAGAGTTTTTTATGGCTGTTTTTAAAATGTAGTACTGCTAGTTATATTTTGATGCGTATTGTGTATCATGATACTGTCTTGCCCACCTCTACACTCAACCTCTGGGACCACCCCCCCACAGCAATAAAGAAGGCTAATATAGATGTGTAGGGCTGCCATGATTAATCGACGTTGATGGTGAAAATTAATCTATGTCAATATTTTAAACTGACTCGTTGCAAAAAAGGTTTTTAAAAGTTTCCAAAGACACAAGGCATCAAAAAAAGTCTGGGAAAACTTCCAATTAGCCCAAAACAAAAAGGTGGTTTGTACACTGTGCAAAATTTTGATGGGATGCCACAGCAGCACTAGCGCGATGCACAAGCACCTGAAGAGAAAACACACAGGCGCTGTTCTGGATGGTGGACCGCCGGTGTTGCAGCCGATTCAGTTCGCCCTTCCGTTGTTGGGGCGTGTTGGTTGGCGTTGATTTTTGCTTAGTGAGTGTGCGTCACCGGTAACTTGATTTGTAATGGGGAATGTGAATTTGAGGGGGATCGGGTGCAACACCGAAAAAGGCAAAACCGCCGTAAGTGTTGTCTATTCATGCTTATTAAATTACCATTAGTAGGGAGAGCTTTTTAAAGTCTGTTGTCCTTGTAGCTTGTAACGCATTATGAAAGCCATGAAGTCGTTTGCCTGCTATCTTAGAATTTCCATTTAATACGTGTTTGAGAAAATGTTTAGGCCAGAATCTGGGCTTATTCTGTGCTGACTGATTTCCCAGTGTGTGTACTCATGCGCTTTGGACTTGATAGGACATGCATCTTATCTAATCATTTTAATTATGCCATTATTTTAAGCATATTTGTTTGTGTAAGGATTCAGTTTGCTGTTGTCAAAACTTAAATTAAATGGTCAGTTTGATTTTTTGGAGTAAAACTAATTTTTTGGATGAATCGACTAAGGGTAAAAATAGTAAAAATCGTCAATAGATTAACCCATAGAAAAAAAGCCGTTAGCGGCAGCCCTACAGATGTGATACTTAACCTCCTCACGCTACTGTTAGCTATCTGGTTTCCTTCTCCATCAGCCAGCTAGCGAGAACAAATCATTTCAAACAGCCCACCCTCCCACTGCCAAGATGCATCGGCAGAAGGTTTACACCAGATGCAGAGACGGCTACGTTTTCATTTTGGCCGGAGTGCCCCTTTAAACTGACACACGCACTGTGTGCGCACATGCTAGCTGTACAAGAACATCCTATTGTCTATAAATCTTATCGTGCTACATCGGACTGAAGAGTTGTTGGGAGCGCTATGTGAGGTCTTTGAGGCCTTCAGCTCTGCAGGGCGGCTTCGTGCTCCGCTGACGAGATCTGGCAGGCGTTCCACTGAGCTTCTTTTAGCACAGTGTTGTGCATCTGGTCGTCTGTGCTTGACAGAAGTAGGTGAAGTCTGCAGGTGGCAAAAACAACAGCGGTAGGAGATCATATTCCGCTTCATAACTGAAATAAAATGAGGCCGTATAAGTAAAAAAATCCACTACCTTTACAGAAGCTGGTTTGGACGCTGCCCATGGTCTGTCGTAGGAACGTGTTTTAAACTTGTTCTGCTTGGGTGGTGTAAGCTGAGGCGCGATCATTCTCTGTGTCTGTCTCCTCGTCTCGGCGTCTTCCCTCTCTCGCTCTCTTTTGCGCAGTTGCTCCTGAAAAACAGCTTTTAAATTGCTTACTTACGTTTTCACTGTAATGGAGTTAATATACAGTTAACATGCAGTTATTAACGCTGTGGTCTCACTAACCTGCTGACCAATTAATATTACTACTACTAATAATAATAATAATTATAATTATAATTGTAACAAATGAACTGCTAGTTATAATATTAATATATATTAATTAGGTTATCAAAAACAATAATAATGCACTTTTAATTATGTAGCACATTTCATACGTGGAATACAGCACAACACGGTAAATGGGTCATTCGACAGAAACGTCCATTTTTGTGTCCCTAGTGTTTACAGATATATCACACTTGATAAACATGTTAGGGTTACAATTTATTTATATTTTAAAACAAAACAATACTTTATTTTAACAATTACACCTTCTTGAGCCTCAATTCAGCAATATTGGTTTTTAAATCAATTATCTAGAATTCAGAGCACCACAGAAGAGCTCGTCCTCACAATCATGTGTGAAGGCTGAGGCCATATTTTGAGGTAAAAAAAACATGTTTTTCTGCAATTTTAACTACAATAATCTATACATGACTATGAAGTACATGGTTTAAATGACATAAAGAAAACAAATGTCAAATAAATGTTATAAAATATATAATGAAAGTTCCCCAGGAGTCGTGTCACTGGTGTTACTGCGTAACAAAAAATCTCTTATTTTGGAATAAAAGTCACACTGATGACATCACTCGACTTCCTTTTACCTGTTTTCTGAGGATCTATGAAGAAAAGCTCATGGTGAGTCCACTGTGTCTTTCAGTTATCAGAGATTTTCTCATTCAGCTCATGATTTCATATGAAGTTTTTAGCTGAAGTCACTGGTGTGACCGACTTCATTCTAAAGTAATTGTGAAAAAATAGAACACAAATGGATTAAATTCCATATTTTAGTGGATATTCCATGATGGACAACATGTGGTTTGGTGCTCTGTAGCAGCCGTTTAGTAAAATGCACTGTTCATTAAAAATGTCTCTGGTGTTTCCTTTATTATGTGGAACACCAGTGAGGATCAGTAACACCAGTGACTCCTATGGAGAGACAGAAGAGTGGACGTTTCAGTAGAATGACCTAAATATAAAATATATATAAAACATATAAAACATTGTTATACAGTGTTGGAAACCACATAAGCAAGATGATTTCAGATTACTGTGTGATGATTTAGGAACGCAGTTAGCACTATGCTAGCTGGTCGGGTGTAAGCTTCCATTACGTTTTAGCTATATTAGCCTTGTAGCACAAATGTGTTGCAAGCAGAACAAAAATTATGTAAATTTTCGCTCAACTGTCACTGTCTCTAGACCTGTGCTATACACTAGGGATGCACGATAATATCGGAATCATATCGCTATTAACAGACAATTGCGAGCATCAGACAGACGATTAGATTTGACAGATAATTCAAACCCGATGTTTGAAAATGTATTTATTGTAGAACAGAATGTTTAGGTGAAACTGGGCTGCTGTGTTAGAATATCTGCATTTTACTACAGAAATAAATGTTATATTTCTCTGTAACGCTATTCCAGGACATTTTATAAACGTTTAAGTACCAGCGTCGGCAGATATGTACATAAAAATATCAGATATTGGCATCGGCCTACAATTCCCATATCGGTGCATCACTTAAGCGATAGAACCCGAGAGGGAGTGTGTTGTCGCGAAATAACATCACGGCTGTGATTTGGTCGCTGTAGATCATCACAGCCGTGATGTTATTGGCGATAACACACTCCTTGAGTGTTCTGTTGCTTTAATACAACAGTTAAATAAAGTAATAAATTAATAAACTGGGCCGTGAACGCGGCGTTTAATAAGTTTTAATGTTCGCAGTTCCTTCACCAAATTATAGTTCCTTAACAAGCAGCTTGTTGCTACGTCAGAGTAACGAGCTCCGCCCACTCGCTGCACAGCCGGCAGTTCGTTCTCCAGCTCCTTAGACTAAATTCCCAAACTGTCATCACCACTGAGCAGCTTTTTTGTTGGCAGCTGTGACAGAAAAACAGCTGAACAACCAGGAATCAGTCAGAAATTAACCCAATACCATTCGCCAAACGTGTAGTCTGATCTTCAGAGTCTGACCAAA